TTTTTTGGGCTAACTTTATTGTGCTTTACTTCTTTTCTCTTTTATACAGTGCTTGGAAGAAAAGCAGATAACCCCAGGGTTGTATCTGTTAGAGAGTATTATGCTTATAAGCTTCAGATAAGGCATAATGACACAACTTTTTTACTCTATTTTGGTAGATTACTACAACAATATATAGTTGACAGCTACGTTAAATTAGAAACGCAAAGACTAGATTTTTTAGGACACAGCAGGAAGAAATAAGACAAGAATTCTTGCAAGGAGTTGTGGATGCAATGGCAAAAGGGGAAACAGATGGTTCTGCTATTGGTAGAAGAATAGTATTACCTTCTAATTTTATTGGTGGCCCTAGAAACATGAGACAAAAATATGTAGATGCAATGGCCTTGGTACAAAAGTTCGGTAAGCCTGATATTTTTTTAACTATGACATGCAATCCTAATTGGCCTGAAATAAAAGAAAATCTTAAACCATATGAAGAAGGCCAAAATAGAGCTGATTTGATTGTTAGAGTTTTTCATGCTAAAGTAGAACAACTTAAACATGAACTTTTCAAGAATAACATTTTCGGCGAAATTTGTGCTTACACTTACGTTATAGAATTCCAGAAAAGAGGACTTCCACATGCACATTTTTTGCTTATCTTAGAAAGTAACTGTAAAATGCATACACCTGAAGACTTTGACAAAATTGTTTCTGCAGAAATACCATCACAAAGTGCAAATCCTCATTTGTTTAGGATGGTTGTTCAACATATGATTCATGGTCCATGTGGCTCTTTAAATCCTTTTAACGTATGTATGAAAAAGAAGGGTTCTTGTAAAAATCTTTACCCAAAAGACTTTTCTTCTCACACTATTCAGACAGACGATGCATATCCTATATATCGTAGACGTAACGATGGGTCTGAAGTGAAAGTCAGAGGTGCTATTCTTAATAATAAATGGGTTGTTCCGTATAATGCCTATTTGCTTTGTAAATTTAACTGTCACATTAATATAGAAATTTGTTCATCAATAAAGGCTGTGAAGTATATATATAAGTATATTTGTAAAGGTTCTGACAAGATAAGCTTTAATATTTCTCCAGTTACAAACTCTGTCCTTATAAATGAGATTAATGAGTATCAATCAGGTCGATGGGTCTCTCCTCCTGAAGGTGCATGGAGAATTTTTAAATTTCCTTTGGGTGAAATGAAACCAGCTGTTATTCATTTGCCCTTGCATTTAGAAAACTATCAGCCTTTGACATTCAAACGTAAATCAACTTTGGTTAATATTCTGAGTAACTCTGGTAAAAGAAAAACTATGTTGACTGAATTTTTTGTTGAAAATGATACAGGAATTTTAGCAAAAAAGCTTAAGCTCACATACAATCAGTTTCCTGATCATTTTGTTTGGAAGGGGGATAAAAATATGTGGTCACCCCGGCAAATAGGTGACTCAATTGGTCGTATTGTGATTGCCCATCCAACCGAAGGCGAAAGGTATTATCTTAGAATTCTTTTGTCTAGAGTTCGCTGTCCAAAATCGTTTGCTGATTTAAAAATGATTAACGGGGTAACTGTTGCTACCTTTAGAGAATCTGCTTTGTTACGTGGTTATTTACTTGACGATGCTACTCAACAAGTATGTATGCAAGAAGCTTCTACTTTTCATATGCCATATGAGTTGAGAAGGCTTTTTGCTTCACTTTTGGTTTTTACCTGTCCAATAGTCCGCGCAAGTTGTGGTTATTATTTGAAGATGCAATGATGGAAGACATTTTACGCCACCACAAAGAGACACGCAAAGAATCTTATGCCCGTGCATTTAAAGAGATTGATTGTTTTCTGCAGTCAATGGGAAGACGTCTTCACCAGTTTGATGTTCTACCCCAAAATTCATTTGATCGTTTAATGGAAGACGACACTAGAGAGATTAAAACTAGAAAAAAGTATTGTTGTTTCCGCTGAAGATTTGGCTGCAATATATACTCTTAATAGAGAACAGAAGGTTGCTTTTGAAATGATAATGGATGCAGTTAGCTGTAATAAACCTGCTTGTTTCTTTATCGATGGTCCAGGTGGCACTGGCAAAACATTCTTATACAGAGCTTTATTGGCTAAATTTAGATCTAAAGGTCATGTTGCTTTGGCTACAGCTATATCAGGTATTACAGCATCGTTATTGCCCGGTGGCAGAACAGCCCATTCACGTTTTAAAATACCTTTGGATGCGGCTGAAGGGTTTGTATGTAATGTTAGTAAACAAAGCTCTTTAGCAGTGTTGATTAGGATTTGTAAGTTGATTATATGGGATGAGGCTCCAACAGCAAAGAAATCTGCAATTGAATCCTTCGATAGTCTACGTAGAGATATAATGGACTGTTCAGCTACTTTTGGTGGTAAAGTTGCTGTTCTTGGTGGTGATTTTAGACAAACTCTTCCTGTTGTTAGGCTAGGAAGTAAAACACAAACTATTTCTGCTTGTTTAACTAATTCTTATTTATGGCAATCTCTTACCCATTTGCAGCTAACAGAAAACATGCGAGCTCTATTGGATCCTTTTTTTCAAGTTTCCTTTTGGCACTTGGTAATGGTGTAGGAACTCTTACAGACGATGCAGTTGTTTCTCTGCCATCATCAATGCTCATTCAGGGTTGTAATGATGTTAACGGTTTGGAAGCTCTTATGAAATATGTTTATCCTAACATTTTGTTACTCCTGCCACTTTCTCTCCACTTGTAATCGTGCTGTTCTAACAACTAAAAATACTTTTGTAGATGAGATTAATGATACTTTGATATACAAGTTGCCTGGAGAAGAGATTGAATATTTTAGTCTTGATGAGACTATTGATCCAAATGATCAGGCCCAGTATGAGGATTTACTTCATTCCTTAACACCAAATGGTATGCCACCTCATAAACTTGTTCTTAAGTATAATGCTCCAATTATTTTGTTGAGGAACATGAACCCGTTTGAAGGTTTATGTAATGGTACTAGACTTTTCTGTAAAGATTTTCAAAGGAATGTTATACGTGCAGAGATAAGCTATGGAGAATTTGCTGGAAAAGAGGTTTTGCTTCATAGAATTCCATTACAGCCACCAACAGGAGAACAATATACAGTTCCATTTAAAAGATTTCAGTTCCCAATTAGATTGTGTTTTGCAATGACCATTAACAAAGCGCAAGGTCAAACACTTGATTATGTTGGCATTTACTTGAAAGAACCTGTTTTCTCTCACCGTCAGTTGTATGTTGCACTTTCGAGAGCAAAAAGTTTAAACAGTATAAGGTTTTTATAACCGGATCTGCATATGGTAGCTCAAATAATATAACAACTAAGAATATCGTCTATAAAGAGATTTTACAACATGCTCATCAACTGTCAACGTACGTACTTTTCCTACAACTTCCTCTTATTTTTCTTTTATTCATATACCCATTTAATATTCTTTTTACAACAGGTAGCTGTTAATCTCTGCAACTAAAACACAGGATGCATGGTATTTCATTGCTTTTTAATAAAAAAGGTCAGCTACCTTTTATCAATCGATTTGAATATAAGATAATTTTTTGTAAACATCTTTGTATTCACATTTTACGATATCCTTAATCTTTACTCTATTTCTCAGTTCAGTTTTATTAAACATCTTTACATAGTATCTTTTAGGATCTCCCTCGGTTTCATGTTTTACAAAACAATTAACCTCATTGAAATCAATTTGAACATGACAGTCTTTCTTGCTTTGCATGTGAATATATATGTGTTTACTTTCTTACAGGCTGTAATCTACTCACACAGTATCGAAACCACACCCCTCTGGAACAGTATTCAATCAGGAAGTGACAAAACTTCACCAACAAGATGAAATCTAAACATTAGATCAGGAGATTAGGTAGACTATATCATATATTTAAATATGTAAATCTTCTAATGTTATGTAACATTTTAAAATTAGAATGGGGTATATTTGTTAGGTATTGATGCCTATTAATTTTTTGTTTTAAAGAATGTTTTGTTTATGTGTATTTTAGATTATTGGATATCTTACTCTTAGCATAGGGTTGTATGTTCTGAAAATTAAATTTTTTTTATCAGGCAAAAATTTATTAGACTTCTCTCACATTTGAATTTGAACTATAGGCCGTGTATATTTATTTGGTAACTTTAATATTTGCAGTCATATGACAAAATTTTTCTTTATTTAAAATTAAGTTTAAACTTTTACTTTACAACGGATTTTCTTTCCTATATTCCTATTTATAATTTTAGAGGAATTTTTTCATTTATCGTAATAAAAATCCGTTTACCATCATTTAGAGTTTAGGGGCCCAATTGTATGTTTTTTAATGGGTATTGTAAAACGATTTCTGTAAATTTTCTACACTTATTTATTCACAATTTAGGAGCCAACTTAGAGTTTCTAAAATCCCACCTCATAAGTATAACGATGGGGGAAACAGAGGTATTCTCATCTCAATAGATTATTGTTCACACCTGCCATCTCCACATAATTCTGATTTACTAGGTCGCACGTGGCCACTATTATTGTTCATGATGTCTGTTTAGATAGACAGAAAATGCAAAAATTGATCTATTTTCTTTCAGTGTTTTTGTCCTTATGACGTATCTTATGTGTTGGTTTATCAAATCTGATGACACGCAGTCAAAGACAATTCCAATTACATGATCTATTTAGATAAGTATAAACAATCTATCAGTCATACCTTTGTTTTCGATGTGCTGTTAGCCAACAACATCTGTTAGTTTTTATTACTTCAGATATTTACACGTGGATTTTTAATTTCTAAATTTTACACGTAATAATTTTTTACCTTATATATTTACTGTTATTGTTGATCAATTTCTTAAGAAGAAAATCTGTACATGTTTGATCCGGTAAGTTTACCTAATTGTTATCAAGAGTCGTTCTCCATTTTTTTCATTTTATTAATTTACCTACATGCCTCTTGACAATTTTTACAAATTTTTATGTTGCAGTTAAAGAAACATGTCTACACAGCTTACTCCGATTATCAAAATCAATCAGGCAACTCACAACCGGTGGACAGCCCTTGTACAAATCTTAGAATGTCAGCACGTTTTGCAAACTAAAAAAGGGTCTTCTTACAAACGACTGATGTTAACAGATTCTGAAGGCTTAAAGTTCACAGCAATTATTTACAGTGAGAATTTACATTACTATGCAAGAACATTCACACAATACAGGAGGTATCGCATCTCAAATGCGTTTGTCATCCCATGTGATCCAAGATATGCAGTTAGCTTATATGAATTTTCATGGGTGCTCAATAAGCGAACGCTTGTACAAGAACATCCTGATCGCAATCCGGTGAATTTACCTTGTACTTTTGAATTCACTCCATTTACGAGGCTCCATGAACATGCTGAATCAGACCATCTTCAAAGTAAAATACCTTTTCTACTTACCTAACATATATTTTTTTTTTAATTATCAACTATATATATATTTGTATTATGTAGATGTCAGAGGCATCGTTGTGCGATGTTTGCCCAGTTATGAAGAAGGTTCTGACCTTGTCAGTCGGAGAGATGTGATTATCATCAACGAAGAGTATAAAATTCTTATCACACAATAATCTATTACCTATTACTTATATACATTACTTTGATTACATTACAATTTTCTTTTATAGAAAACTGCCTTTGGTGATCACTCTGTGGAACCAATTCGATGAACATGAGGGTAATGTGTTGCAGTCAATGCAAGACCCACCCCCTTTGTTCTTTGGAATGAGGCTGAAAGTCACAACTTTTAACTATAATTTATTTACCTTTTTACTAAATATTTTTTTTTGTATTATAACAATAAAACCTCATTAATTGTACTGATTACAAAAAAAATGGAAACAGCCATCTCTTTAACAACGAAGCCAAATTCATGTTTGCTTATCAATCCGCCGGTTAGTGACAACTTGCAATTACGCACCTGGTATTACTTATGCTATTCATACCATATTTTTTTCTTCAAATTATTAAATAACTTCCATTTTTATTTATCTTCCTTTATACACTATTACATCTATCTGACAAAATTAGGTACAATAACAACCGCAAGGAAATAAATGACTTGCTATCAGTCACAAACTACCGAAGAAACTATTTCATTCTACCATATCCAGCTGAAACAAACATATCTTCTATTCTTTCTGCAACTTCACGTTTCGACACTGTAAGCTATTTTTCGACTTTAAAAAATTCATTTTTACAATTATGTTTCATATGTAATTTGTTTCAGCTACACTTACATTACATATAAAATAGATGAAAACTGCTTGGGTGAAAGGCACCCTGAGTCTTCCTGAACAAGAACGTAACTTATCATACACTGCCTGTTCCAATTGCTTCAAGTCTATAGAAGTCGACACAACTTGGATTGTTACCTGTCCTTCTTGTCACATCGAATCAGAAATTCAACAGATGTAAGCATGAATGTTCTTTTACTCACTTCTTAAAATATTTTTTTCTTACCTATTAAATTTCCTTTAGGTCAAGGTTAACTGTTTTGATTGCCGATGAAAGTGGAGTGATGAAAGCAAATTTACACACACCTGAAGTTGAAAAGTTTATACCTTTCTCTCCAAAAGATGTGCAAATCAGTGAAGAAACTGTAAATACACATTTTATCTAACCTTGTAAAACATGTCAGGTTATAATTATATAAATTCTTTTTAACATTTGTTAATGTGTAATAGGGTGAGACTCTATGCAAATCCATTGCCATTGCAATCAACTCTGTTTATATTGTTGCTTTCGTTCGTGCATACGAAGTGCATTTTCAAGGAACAACAGACATCAAAGTGAATATTGTTAAAGCTTACAAAGTAAATGATCATGCTGCTGTGTCAAATGAGTCTGATAACATGGTCCATAGATCAAACATCGGTGAAGGCACATCAACAACCAAAAATGTGTCTTCTGTTGCAGCCACAGTTCCTTTGCCATCGGCTGCTGAAATTGAAAAACCTGTTGAAGTTAAGAATTCAAAGCAAGTTCCTGTCACATGCTTGCTTCCAAAGAATAAGCCAGAACCAATTCTAATGACAAAACATCTTCTTCCAGAAATTCCAAGTTCCAGCTCCTCTCCATTTGAACAAAAAGTTTCTGAATCAGTCCCACCTTTAGCACTTCCTGTGAAAGAAGATGTTCCTCGGGCAACCAATCCAAGGCCCTCTAAAAAAACAAAGTAACTGTGGTTTGTTAAAAGATGGTAACTATCCTCTACATATCTTGTGCGAATAGAATATAGAGGTCTATTCGGTATGTAAATAGTATCTTTTGCGAATAGATTCGGTTATTCGGTATGTAAATACTATGTAACTGCAGTTGACAGCCATCTTTGTATGGTTTCTTTTGGCGTATAGATCATTAAAATCTACTGTATATACACTTTCAAGTTTTCCATATAGTATCTACTGTACATATACTTTCAAGTTTTTATATGAAAAATGGAACTACAGTCTACTTTTTATTATGAAATTTGCATACTTGAATTACTACTTTATAGTTACTTTACTTTTATTATGAAGTTTTCTTATAGTACAGTCTACTTTTATTATGAAATGTGAATACTTAAATTAGTACTTTATAATTAGTCTACTTTTATTATCAAGTTTGCTTACTTAACTCACTACTTTATAACCATCTTTCTTTGCAACACAATCTTTACAAAAATAATTCTGATGTAACCTTCGTTCCATTATCTATAATTTCATTTGAATTATTATATTATGATTAAAAAATTCACAAAGATAATATACCACAGCATTGTCGAATGAAACAAATAAGAGATTGCAAACTTGATCGGTCAAATTTCAAAAACTCTTAGACTACAACTTTCCACCATATCTGTCAGCTGCTTTAAGTTCTCATTTCACTTCTTCTTAAAAGCAATAACCTATATGAATGAAAATAAATTTAATAAATAAAGAATAAAATCAAATACCCATTTAACAAATTTATGGATAAAACTCACTTCGGTTGTCCATTTGACAAAGATATCATTTTGGTAGCCCATTTGAAAAAGATACAGTAGGATTATTATATTATTAAAATTGTTAATATGATTCATATCCATATCCCTTATGAGCATGCTAAAAAGTATTGGAGTGGCTACAGGCCAAAAATTGTTCAAATCAGAGTTCATGCCAATGCCAATTCCATTGTCATTACCAACACCACACAAAGTCGTGTAACTCCCATTGCAGGTGCGTACCACAACATGCTTCGTGATTTTGTATTTCCAATGTACTTCAATTATATCTTTTTTCTCTTTAAAAGACTATACTTTTAAAGTACAATGCTATATTGCCAATATTTCTAGCAAGGGTATGCTTTGTGATTTTGTATATCTATATGGGACAAATGGCAGTGTATTTAAATTATATCTTTTCTTTCCTTACAACATTGTACTTTTAAAGTACAATGCTATATTCCCTATATTTTCATCAAGAGTATAAGTGTTGCACATTCTCTTAACACCATGGAATGAAATGCACAAGTTTCAGTAAACACACTATATTTTTACACTTTTACCATTTCTAAAAGAATAAACATTCAACTTAAACTTCTTATAATGACTACACACTTATATAGATATTATCTTTTTACATTGTACTATTTTGGTTTACCATTTCGCTTAACTGTGATAAAACTTTGCTCCGGAATCGACTCTATAGGGTCGTGATTATCACGGCCCTCATCAGGTTCCTAGTATATATATATATATATATATATATATATATATAATATATATATATATTATATATATATATATAGGTTTAGGTTCTATGGAAAACAAAAAAAACCCTAAAAAAACCCTAAAAATCATAAAAAATGCATAAAAAAAAATACTTAGAGATCACAAAACTTTTTTTTGAATTTTTTTATCAAAAAATCGCAGCTTTTAACATAAAATCGCTGAAAAAAATTTTACAAAAAAAAAAAAAAAAAAAAAACAAAATTGATTTTTTTTTCAGCGAATTGTCAAAAAGGCTTCGATATTTTGATAAAAAAATTCAAAAAAAAGTTTTGTAATGTCTATATATTTTTTTTATGCATTTTTATGATTTTAGAGTTTTTTTTGTTTTCCAAATAACCCTTCCTTTTATATATATATATATATATATATATATATATATATATATATATATATATATATATATATATAATGTGCTTATTTTTGGTTAGGTTAAAGGGTGTGGTAGTTTTTTTTCAATGATAAAATGGTGCTACATAGCATAGCCATCACATAAACTTTTATCATTTTTGCCACACTTCACCGAACCTATGAGTGAGGTGTGGTGGATTTTTTTGCCAATGATATATATAATGGTATTTATGTTAAAAAGAAATATAAAAGAAAAAAAAAATTACTATGACAAATCAAGAAACGAAAAATGATTCCCATTAAGATTCGCCATCCATGAAAGTTCACCACCGTAAAGTGTCAAATAGGCTTTGCCATCGGCTAAAGCCCTCCCACACCATTTGGTCTTAACAATTGAAAAACACAAATCTCATTGAGTTTGAAGACATTCCTACGTAAATGAAAAAATATCAAACTATATCAATGTTTTTGATGATCAAATTAAATAGGACAATCAATAGAAATTAAAATAATAAATATATGAAAAAACCTCGTTATCATTAATCATGATAATCTACTATCAATCATCATCATCTAATTACTCCGTTTGTTTTTCATATTGTTATTATAGGTTAAAACTTAAACAAGATAAAAATAAAATATATTGCTTTTATATTGATAAAAAAAAGTAAACTATATTTCAATTTGACAAAATTACAAGAATGGTCCCTATGGTTTGTTAAAAGTCACAAAGTTAGTCCCTACTAATTTTTTTTACGAACATGGTCCCTATGATTTCCAAAACTTGCATTAATGACCCTTTTGTTGACGCCGTTACTATTCATCTGTTAGTGTAAGGGTAGGTTTCAAGTAGCAGGGACTGAGTTTGTGACTAGAAGTAAACCATAAGGACCATTTTTGTAATTTTTTCTATATTTTATGTTAATGAGTTTGTGGCTTTTCCACCCCTTTATTTTTTAAGATATCACTTTGATCCCTTCACTTTGAACTTTGAAAAATGTTACTTTCACCCTCTATTTTCTAAATTTTTGTGTTTAATTCCGTATTGTATATAATTTGATTTTTATTAATAACTTTCGTTCGTTCACCTAAAAAAAAACTTTTTTTATGTGTTTATGTGGACTTTAATTTAGAACTTTCTTTCGTTATTTTTTAAAAAACTACAAGGTTTTTTTTTTTATAAAATTGTTGGTTTAAATTCGAGTTTGTCTATGTTACAACGTAGCTTTTTTTTACGTTTTTGTGCTTAATTTTATGTACGTTTCATACATATGACCCGGGTCACATATTATACGTTTTTGATTATTTAAACTTTCGTTCATTAACTTAAAAAAAAATCTTACTTATTTATTTTTATGCACATGTCGATATAAATTTGTGTTTTTCTTTTTCTTTATTTTTTATGTTTCGACTTAATTTTTTTGTACGTTCTGGTGCTTATTTTATATATGTTCTTAAGTATGGGTTTGTTCACATATAATAGATAAAAGAGTAATTATAAGAATTGAATTTTGTAAGTTGAATTTTGACGGTCGTGTTGATAAAAGTTATGTTTCGATTTAAAAAAAACACAAACGAAAAAAACACGTACGTAAAAATAAGCCCGAAACATAAAAAAAATTGCATCGAAATGTAGACGAACTCGAATCTATACTGATACGTAAAAAAAAACGTGAAACAAAGTTACGTCGAAACGTGGACAAACTCAAATATAATACATTTTTTTAGCTAACGAATGAAAGTGATTATATGTGGCCCAAATGATACGTAAGAATGTATATAAAATTAAGCACAAAATGTACAAAAAAAACGTAGAAACATAGACATACTCGAATATAATATGTTTTTTAAAATTAACAAACGAAAGTGATTATATGTGACCCGTCTCATACGTAGGAAACGCATATAAAGTTAAACAAAAAAAATTACATCAAAATGTAGACAAAATCGAATTTAAACAAAAAAGTTTATAAAAAACCATGTAATTTAAAAAAAAAATAACAAAAAAAAGTTCTAAATTAAAGCCGAAACGTTGACCACCTTAAACTATACTGACTAATATATAAAAAATAAACACGTAAAAATAGTTTTTTTAGGTTAACGAATGAAAGTTATTAATAAAAATAAAATTATATATGATACGGGGTTAAACATGAAAATTTTTAAAATAGAGGGGTGAAAATAACAATTTTCAAAGTTCAAAGTGAAGGGATCATAGTGACATTTTAAAAAGTAAAGGGGTGGAAAAGTCACAAACTCATAAACATAAAATATATAAAAAAAATTTATAAATGGTCCCTATGGTTTACATATAGTCACAAACTCAGCCATGTTACTTGAAAAAACCAAATACGCTTACACTAACGAATGAACAGTAACGAAGTCAACAAAAAGGGTCATTCATGTAAGTTTTGGAAACCATAGGACCATGTTCATCAAAAAGAATTAACAGGGACTGACTTTGTGACATTTGACAGACCATAGGGGCCATTTTTTTAATTTTGTCTAAAACAAGTTAAATTTTGTGGGATTTTGTGATGTCAAAATCAAATGGACATGAAATCAGATGGATCTCGGGCAACGATATATTCCTTCGGAGTTAAGAGAGACTCGGAAGTGCCTATGTGGTTTCCTGTTGAATTACGATCATCTATTTGTTAAGAAATAGTGAACGACTTCTTTTCATAGGCTTATGTAGGTGGCTTTAGCTCCAACCAGATTCCGAAACTCAACATAAGTTCGAAAATCCGAATAAAGTAATTTTCTGAACAGTGTAGCCATAAGAACAAGTATGTTTTAAATATTTTGTAAGTGACTAGATAAAATAGAAATCTCCAAAAAAAGGATATAATTGGGTAAAAATGTCTTGGGACGAGAACATTTCATTAAGATCACTCAAAAAGAAATATGAGATTTCATACTCGTAGTGGTACAAACCAAAAAGGTTGTAATCGTCAATGCATTGGTGAAAATATCTAGAACATATTAATTGTTCACCGTCAATTCAGAAATGGGTTTTGGATTTTAGGTTTCACTTAAATCGTGGTGATAATGATTTGAAGATCATAAACACAGATTTTG